GGGCTCTGTCCCTGTGCTCGGCCTCCCCGCGCGGTCCCTGCGGTGTAGTCCCAGCCTCGGCAATCAGACCAGAAAAAGGCACCCAAGGCACCCGGACTGGAGAGGAGGAAGGAAAACGGCCACCATTTTCCCGTGGCCTGGCCCTCTCTGTACAGAAAATCCTGAAGACGCCGCCAACAAGCCGTTAGAATAAATGACCTCAGCAAATCTGTCGGAAACGCCATCCACAAAACCGGCCGCATCTCTCTGCACCGATAATGAATGATCAGGAAGAGAAATTAAGAAAACAGTCCCGTGTACACTCGCATAAAAAAAAAAGTATAAAATACCCAGGAACACATGTTCGCGAAGGAGGCCTTGCACTCTGACAGCGATACGGCGCTGAAGAAAGAAACGGAACAAGATAGAAATAAAAGGAGGACAGACCTTGCTCGCGGACCAGAGAGATTCATGCTGTTCAAATAAATTTACAGCCGGAGGTTTTACATGGATTCGGTGCAGCTGGATGTCCTCTCATGCCCCCAAGGTCAGGGGGCAAATGGCCACGGCCGGGCCCGAGACACGGCCACCCGCAGAGGCCCACGCGGCCACAGCCCTCCCAGGTCAAGGGACACGCGCTTCAGAGACCCGGATGCACAGGGCGCGGACTCACCCAAGAGGAACTGAGGAACCTGCCTGGGCCCTGGCCGGGTAGCGCAGTAGGAACGACAAATCCATGTCTCTGTCTCTCTCCCTTCCTCTCAATAAAAACAGAAGCTGCCACTATCACTAGAGACAGGCAGTATCGCGAGACGCTGTCACTATCGCGACACGCAGCAGTACCGCGAGATGTCGCCAGTACCGCGAGAGACGGGCACCACCACGAGGTGCCCAGTACCCCGAGGGGCAGCCAGTACCGCCTTGTGCCTCCTTTAGAGTCGGTGTCTTTTCTTGCAGAACCACGTCAGCTAGTTTATTTGCACCGGCCGAGCTGTAGCGGGTGGCCTGGGGCTGCCTGAGATCCGGGGGAAGGGAAGGCTCTATCCGGGACGGTGAGGCACGAAGACCATTGCCTTCCCCTCGGACGGGGCTCCCGGGAAGGAAGTCCTGCCGGGCACCAGGCTCCCTTCGCAGTTTCAGTTCCGGGGCGCGTGCGCATTGGGACGAGCTGTATCAGAGACGGCGCCCTTGCCCCCCGGATCTTCTTACTGCCCCACTTTCCCCAGCAGAGATTCCCACGCTGGGGTGATGAGCACAAGACCGGGGATGCTCACATTTTATTCTTGTGGAAGATCCTTTCTGCTGCATCCGTTTACTCCACACATAGTCACTCATAGCTTGGCTCCTACACTTTGCTCGGTTCTTGGGGTTCATCCGTGAATCAGCGCTAGTTTCTACTTTATAAAGCTCCACATTGGGGCGAGGGAAACGGACAGGTAACTCCAGGGTTCTCGCGTGTGTAAACCTATATGTATAAAAGCCTAAGCGACCGAAGGACCGTCTGACCAGTCGCTATGATGCTCACTGACCACTAGGGGGCAGACGCTCAATGCAGGAGCTGTCTCCTGGTGGTCAGTGCGCTCCTACAGGGGGAGGGGGCGCTCAGCTGACAGGCACAGCTGCGGCATGAGCCTCTCTGTTACCAAGCCAAGGCGGCAGTCGGACATCCCCTGACGCCCCCTGAGGCGTCCCGGATTGCGAGAGGGCGCGGGCCAGGCTGAGGGACCCACCAGTGCACGAATCTGTGCACCGGGCCTCTAGTTTAGCATAAGTGCCTACACCAAGCGCTGCAGATTCACGCAGGAGGAAATGTTTTCTTCCCAGCCGGGGTGGGTGGGCATGGCTTCAGAGTGTGTCCAAGGGAAAGCGTGGGATTCCTGTTGGAAGGAGGGGGCCGCGGGAGGGGAGTTCAGAGATGGGAGGGGTGTAGAGGACGAGGTGTCTGGGGGCCTCCGCAGAGTTTAGATTTTTGCACGGAGCCCCAGCCTGGGCATCTCCGAGGGCGGCAGGCGGCCGCGTGCCAGGGTGTTGGTGAAGCAGCAAAATCAGCTTGCCGTAGCATATTTCCCTAGAAGTGGAAACGGTCCAAACCACGGCATTTGTATCCAATCCAACCAGCATGAATGATAGAGAATAAAAGGAGACGTGCAAACATTTGAAAGACAAAACATGCATCGTCAAAGGGGCATAGAAATCTATAGTCTTTATAGATCATATAAGTCTATAGTCTATTATAGATTATAAAACTCTATAGTCTCTTATAGATTATAGAACTCTATAGCCTATTATAGATTATAGAGATCTATAGTCTATTATACATTATAGAACTCTACAGTCCATTATAGATCATAGAACTCTATAGTCTATTATAGGTTATAGAACTCTATAATCATTATAGAACTCTATAATCTGTTATAGATTATAGGAATCTATAATAGATCATAGAAAGGAGGAAAGTGTAAGGGGACAAGGAGGTCGAAACTAGAAGAGTCCCCATGGGAATGTGGAGAAAAGGGCCGATTGCAGGGGTATTTGGGACCTGTTAGCCGTGATATATAAACTTCACGTCGGTACATAGACAGATGTGTTAAGTGACAGGACCTCAATTATCCCTGAATGCATGCCCTGACTGCACGGCGATAATTAATTTACTTCGTGGGCTGGGAATGAGATAATACATAGGAAGTCACTGTGAAGCGATGCACATGGGAGGCGCTAAACTGCCGACCGTCCCCACAATATTTCTTTTTAACTCGTGCCATTTAGTCACTCACCGGTGCACACACATCTAGAGGCCATCCCACGTGTGGATTTGCATAAAATAAGTGCGCAGTTATGCAGGCATGTTCAGAAGGCAAGCGACTGGAAATGAACATACGACTCCACGCCCCCTTATGCATATATGTAAGGCACATGGTCATGCCTGAGGGGTTTGGGGTCTTTTGTAGAGTCTGGGTTGCAGACGCCCTTTCTGGGAAGCTCTGGCCACCAGAGAGCAGCACCCCGCGGTGGTGCGTTTGGGGTTTGCTAAGGCAGATGGCAGGCGTGGTGGGGAGGCCCAGGATCCGACGGGCGTGTATGTTACCTGATATCTCTGTGGGGGCTTTCTGTCTGGCTTGTCAGACTTACCGGTTTGCATTTACTGGCTGGTATTTAAAAATGCCGCCACTCTAACTTAATGTGATCAGATATTAGCTCTGAAAATCATACACCTTGAACACAGTCTAGGAAGACAGTCCCAGGTGCAATGAAGTCATTTTCCTAGTAATGTTTTGAGTAGTGTTATTTTTTAAAATATATATTTTTTATTGATTTCAGAGAGGAAGGGAAAGAGAGAGAGAAACATCAGTGATGAGAGAGAATCATTGATAGGCTGCCTCCTGCACGCCCCCTACTGGGGATCAATCCTGCAACCCTGACCGGGAATCAAACTGTGATCTCCTGGTTCATAGTTGACGCTCAACCACTGAGCCACACCGGCCGGGTGAGAAGTGTTACTTTTTAAGACTGCAAACCAAATTAAACAATAAAAAGGACTAAGGAGGTGCTTACCCAAATTACTATTACTCAAGACATCGGTACAGTCCCTCCTATCTTTTCTCTGTGGTTATAGGATGTGTAGAGAAATACTTAAATAGTAAAATGGCCCTAGCTGGTTTGGCTCAGTGGATAGAGCATTGGGCTGCGGACTGGAAGGTCCCGGGTTTGATTCCGGTCAACGGCACATGCTCGGGTTGTGGGCTCGATCCCCAGTAGGAGGTGTGCAGGAGGCAGCCGATCCATGATTCTCTCTCATCATTGATGTTCCTATCTCTCTCTCTCCCTCTCCCTTCCTCTCTGACATCAATAAAGAAATATATTTAAAAATATATTTAAATATTAAAATGGTCTAACAGCATTATGGCGCCTTAAACAATAATTAGAAAGCATTAATCTAAAAATGACACAAATAGGCCAAGCCCTAAACCAATAGGAGTTTTAAGATAAAATTGTATTCTTGTCCCACTATTACATAACTCTCATCATCACTGCATATTCAATCCCTATTCCAGTTTTTTATTTTAGAAAATGTTTAAAACGCGTTTATTGAAAGGATTCATGACGCTGCTAAGCCTGGTTGGTTATTTTTAAATTGTGTCCCAGACACTGTATGTGAAAAATTATGGCGATCGTTTGGGGGGTCTTGAAACTACTCTCCAATTTTATGTTTGTTTCCTTATTTAAGAAGATATATTTTTATTGATTTCAGAGAGGAAGGGAGAGAGGGACAGAGAGATAGAAACATCAATAATGAGAGAATCATAGATCGGCTGACTCCTGCACGCCCCACACTGGGGATCGAGCCTGCAACCTGGGCATGTGCCCTTGACCGGGAATTAAACAGTGATCTCCCGATTCATAGGCCGATGCTCAACCACTGAGCCACACCGGCCGGGCTCTCCAGCGGTTCTCACTGTCCTCCCGGGAGGTTGGTGAGAGCCCCTTGCTCCTCACTGCGGACAGCAGAAGGGCAATGGTAGGTTAAAGCGTGTGTACAAGGCCCCTCGACAGCGGGTCCCGATTTATGATGCAACGAGCTTTGTCCCTCGCAGCCTCTCTCTGGCTCTGGGACACAAACAGCACCGCGCTCTCGGCTGCACAGACTGGGGATCATGGGCACGTCTGCCGCAGGAATCTTTCTTGTAAACGCTGCCTTTCAAGTCGGCTGCCGGCGGTGTTTCCCAAGGGTTCCGTTCTCTCCAAGCCCACGTTTCATCCCTGACACGGAGGGAGGCCCACGGAAATCTCTCTTCTCTCCTCGGTTTGTTAGGGTTGGGTAGCCTTCTACTCAGAGAAGAGGGAAGTCTAATAGAAATTCCCATGATGTTGGCCCGGCCGGAGTGGCTCAGTGGTTGAGCGTCGACCTACGAACCAGGAGGTCACAGTTCGATTCCCGCTCAGGGCACAGGCCCGGGTTGTGGGCTCCATCCCCAGTGTGGGGCCTGCAGGAGGCAGCCGATCCGTGATTCTCTCTCATCGTTGACATTTCCATCTCTCTCTCCCTCTCCCTTCCTCTCTCTGAAATCAATAAAAACATATTTAAAATACTTTTAAAAAGACACTATAAGTATCGGATGCTTTTTAAAATCAATCTTCCGGAAGAGTCGGGTATGGGCTTGAGCACAGCTCCCCCAGCGCTGTGTAAAGTGCTGTCTTGCATTTCCACGGCGATTCTTCTTCCCGAAGCGACAGGGCAGCCTCGCTCCTCAGGACTCTGCAGAGCTGCCAGCGCTTTCTCGGTGCTCTTGTGTAGGCGTCGGAAGAAACAGATAACCGTAGATCTCGCCGTGTCTACATTCTTGTTTGCACGGAAAATTGCTGGGTAATACAAACTCCCATTTGCGAGGCACTCGGGAGCTTACGGCGAGAACGACTTCTTCTACCTCATTTAGTCTTTCCACCGACCACATTCCCCCCCTCCCTCCCCCCGTTTTAAAGAGGAATGAGTTGAGAGGGTGTTTTTCCCTGAGTCAGCGAGATATGAGAGCCGACAAAAAAAAAAATTATATTCAGAATAAGAAACCAACTCCTACCAATCCATAAGGCCAAGGAGGCAAGCCGGTAGGAAAATGGGCAAAAGGTGAGCAGGTGCGGGGTCCTCACCACCAAGGACATCAGCAAACGACACCCTGAAAATAACGGGGCTGGACCTTAAATAGAGCGCATTTTTCTAAATGCCTCTCTCTCTCTCTCTCTCTCTCTCTCTCTCTTTCTCACACACACACACACACACACACACACACATACGCACAGCAGTCCACACTGCCACTGCTTTCATTTAGTCATGGGGGTTGTGAGGGAGCCCGCACACGTAACTCTGTATGTCTCTGTTCCATCTGGTGTTTTGCAGGGAGCACATATCACTTTTATAATCAAGAGGGAAGGGGGCTGCTTAAGCACAATTGTTGTTGTTTTAATATATTTTTACTGATTTCAGAGAGGAAGGGAGAGGGAGAGAGAGAAACATCCATGATGAGAGAGAATCATGGATCGGCTGCCTCCTGCACCCCCCCCCTACTGGGGGCGAGCCCACATCCCAGGCATGTGCCCTCACTGGGAATCAAACTGTGACCTCCTGGTTCATAGGTCGACGCTCAGCCACTGAGCCAGGCCGGCCCGGTGCTTAGCACAGTTGTGAAATAAGCCACGCTCCTGGCCCTGAGCACAGGGCTCAGGGTGAGAGCTGAGACACAATCCGTCATCTGTCGTTTGAGCCACGAGACGACTCTGCCCGCCACGTCCTCACACGGACCGTCTTGGTGACGCACACAGAAAAGGGTTCCCTTGGTGTCAGTCGCTAGCCTGGGACCCAGAATTCCTCAGCTACTCTCAGGAGATGGGTGGCGTCCAGACGTTTCTCGTAAGTGTTAGAAGTCACCAGCCTGCTTCCGGGATCATGGTTGTGTATGGGGGAGGCTCCTCCGCAGGCCTCTGCTCCTGGTCCCCCGGGAAAGCCTGCCTCTGTCCTCTCCTGTGACGGTGCCCTGCTCCGTCTAGGACCTGTCACTACTTGTGGTTGTATTTCTATCACGTTGAGTTGTGTGATCCCCACCCCATGACCTCAGGAACAATGTGGGTTTAGGGCCCTCTATACCTGTCATCCTGGCATAAATGCCTCAAACAGGAAGAGCTCCATCAACATTCATTGAATGAATGAGTGAGTAGTGAATGATTGAGTGAATGACTGAGTGACTGGTGAGTGAGTGACTAATGAATGACTGTATGAATGAGTGAATGTGTGAATGTATGAATGAGCGAATGTATGAATGAGCAAATGTATGAATGAACGAATGTATGAATGAGCGAATGTATGAATGAGCGAATGCATGAATGAACGAATGAATGAATGAGCGAATGTATGAATGAGCGAATGCATGAATGAGCGAATGGATGAATGAGTGAGTGGATGAATGAGTGAATGTATGAATGAGTGAATGTATGTATTTGTGAAAAATGAATGAGTGGATGGATGAGTGAATAATGAGTGAGTGAATATTTTTCCCATTGACTTATTTTTCAAAAGAGAGTGGAAGCGAGGGGAGAGAGAGAAAGACATGATGTGAGGGAAATA